GCCAGAACATATCCCAGAGATACTGGGAGGAGGAACAGCTCCGCTCCCAAGACCTGTTGTGAAGGCTTCTTCCAGGCTTCTAGAGCCCCGGACTGCCGATGGTTATCGATCCGGGCTATTTCCAGCCTCTCTCCATCCCTCTTTGTTGTGTCTGAACCTCCTCCTGTTACACTGACCTATACCTTGTCACTCATAGACGCACAAAGGAGCACAGAGACGCACACTCACAGACTCACATTGCGCTTCCACCCCTACACAAACACTACATACGCTCCCACTCACAGGGACAGCTTTGGACACAGACAAATTCTCTTAAGCACACCCCACTTCTCTCCCTATGCTCACCACGGAGATAACAAGACAGGACAGTCCCTCTCACGCAGATACAACCGTGGACATACTGATACCTGGACCAGAACATCAGCACACTCACTCCCTGGAAACAGGTTCCCTCCTCACTCATCCTACTTCCTCAGCCCAGTATCCTGTCAAGCTGTGAAAAAATCTCTTGTGTACCCACTGTCTTCTTGCCTAGCAGCTGACTTAGGTATCAACAATAAAAGAAGCATGGGTCATAGCAGGTATATCCACAAAGCAGAGCTGAGTGAAGAGTGACAAGGAGAAGGGATAGCTTTAAGGCCACAGACCAGGCCTAGGGTTCATGCATGTGTCATGTGTGAGTGTGTGCATGTTGTGCTATCCCATACATATGGATCTTTTGTAATGGACCTTAGTGGGGGAAATCACGTGAAGGAGATAAGCTCTCCTTCTCAGATCATGCTATTGTGAGCATCTGACATCCCAGGTCTCTGGGGTGAGGGGCATAAGCATCAACTTCCCAGCTGCCCCCAAGGCTGGTGCTGGGGTCTTCCAATCCTACCATGAGAAGCATGAAGAGTACAAAATCAAGACTCCTTTCTGCAGATGGGATAAGAGATTGCCTGCTCAAAGCTGGCCTTCTTTCACAGAAGAAAAGAGACCCTGCACATAACTGACCTCTCTTTGTCCCCCTGCAACAGATGCTACAGTGCAGAACAAGCGAGACAAGCTACTGGCAGGCTTGGAGCGGGCTGGGCTGTCCCCAGCTGGGGGAGCTCCTCGACGGAGAGGCAGCATGCCTGTGCCCTACAAACACCAGCTGAGGCGGGCCCAGGCAGTGGACGAGTTGGACTGGCCACCCCAAGCCTTATCCTCTGGTTCCTCTGACTCTCTGGGGTCAGGGGAAGCAACACCAGCTGGGAGGGGTGGTGTCTTCAAGGTGATGCTTCTGGGTGAGAGCGGCGTGGGCAAAAGTGCCCTAGCAGGCACTTTTGGAGGACTCCAAGACGACAATGCCCATGAACCTGAGAACACAGGTATTGGGGTGGGGCTCGTATGTGGGCCATAAAGACCAGGTGGTGGAGGCATGGGTCTTTGGAACCCCAAGAAAACAGTACTTGAGGACCTGAGGTGGAGGGGAAGGTCTATGGCCTCTAGAGAGTTGTTCCTTAGGAAAAAGTTCTCATAAAGATGGCCTTAGTGGCTGGGGTTCCTGGGTTGGTTGTCTGGGCCGGGTCACCTACGAAAAGGATTCTATCCCCCCATTTTTTTTTGTCCTGACAGAGGACACCTATGAAAGACACATCATAGTGGATAAAGAAGAAGTGACATTGGTGGTGTATGACATCTGGGAGCAGGTGAGATCCAGAATATCCTTAAAAGCTGGGAGAAAGTAGGAAAGGTAAAGGGAGGCCATCCCAACATGGGAGATGCTGAGGGTTCAGGAATCAGGGCCCTGGCTCCTCAGAATTTCCCTAGAGTTCAGGCCTTCTGTTCTCATCATTTTGGCTAAGCAGAGTGACAAGACCACTCCCTGTTCTGAATGTCCTAACTGATCTCTGCTCCTCTACCCTGACACAGCAGAATGTTAAAATAAGAATTTGCTGTATGCAAGGTTAGCCTGGAGGAGCCCAATCTGTTAGCAGAAACTTAGAGCTCTCGGACAAAGAGGGGAGCTTACATAAGAGCAAAATGGAATCAAGGTGACCATCACATTTTTAAACCAACAGTTTGGGCACTTTTTAAACAGGCCCCTGCAATCCTAGTTCACTTCTGTGGAAGCTTGATGGGGATTACATTCCCCCACAAGCACACCAGTTCTACCACTTAGTACTTAGGCAAATATTTTCCCCACTCTGGGCCTATTTCCTTAACTGTTATCAATTAGGGGACTGGAAGAACTGACTTCTAATGTCCCTTTCCTAGCTCTAACATTCAGTGATTGATTATTTTATGTCCCTTCCTACAGGGAGAGGCAGGTAGCTGGCTCAGGGAACACTGCCTTCAGACTGGGGATGCCTTCCTCATTGTCTTCTCTGTCACTGACCGAAGAAGTTTCTCCAAAGTGCCTGAAACATTGCTTCGGCTTCGGGCTGGTCGTCCCCACCATGATCTACCCATCATCCTAGTGGGCAACAAGAGTGACCTTGCTCGTTCCAGGGAAGTCTCACTAGAAGGTAAATATCCTGAATTTGCTCCCTTCTTCCAAGCCCAAAAGACCTCTTCCTTATTTCCCCTAAGAAGATTCTTTCCCACATCTGGCCCCCTTCTGTCTGAACCCAATTGTACCTGAGCCCTCACCTTCACCCAAGGCTTGGGTTTCTGTGTCACCTTTTTCCTGGGGCTTGGAACTCCTTTCTGTCTCAACAAGCTATGTACCTCCAGGCCTGTCATGCCTCCTTGGCCTCCCCAATGTCCTAGGTTCCATTTTCCTTGCCCCTTTATACACATATTCCTCCCTCATGCACTTCAGTCCCCTGCCTCTTCCCCTCCATCTCTTTGGTAATCATAAGCTCATAGATTTAGAGCTGGAAGGAATCTTAAAAGCCCAGCAAGTCCAATATCCAATACTCTTGTTTTACAGATGAGAAAACTGAGGCCCATAGAAACTTGCAAGGGTTACCCAGCTAGTAAATATTTTAAGTGGGATTTGAACTCAAATCTTCCTGACATTGTCTAGCCCCCTATTCCCTACATCAAGATAAGGCAGCTAGGTGGTCCAATGGATAGAGTTAGAAAGATCTGAGTTCCACTCTAGCCTCAGTTCCTTAGCTGTATGTCCTTAATCAAGTCACTTAACCTCTGTTTGCCTCAGTTTCCTCACCTGTAAAATGGGAATAATAATAGCACCTACTTCCCAGGGTTGTTGTGAGGACCAAATGAGATAATACTTATAAAGTGCCTGACACATAGCAGATGCTATATAAATGCTTGCTATTATCATGCCATCCCTATTCTATTCTATTATTATCGATAACTCTCCATCCCTGTCAATCCAGTCCCTCCTCTCCTCCTCTTCCACAGCCTCTTCCCATTCTTTCCCTTCTTCCTAACCCCCTTCCCCCATTTCATCAATACTCAACCATCCTGCTCCATTCTTTCCCTTCCCTTCAGTAAGATGTCCTTGACCCTCCTCTCCTTTTGATATCTCATCCCATCAATACCCTGTCCCTTTCCCCCTCTAGTCCCCACGGCATGGTGAAATGTGATAGACTGCATAGTGTGGAGACACCTGGGTTCAAATCCTCCCGCTTCATTACTTGGTAGCTGTGGGAGGCCATGGTGAGGTGCATAGAACCTGTGGGAGATGGACAGGAGAGTACAAAGCCCCGGGAGGGAGACAGACCAGCAGAAGGCTAGCATCCTGTTGTACCTGGGCATTTTTCATAAATTAAGTTTATTTTTTTCGATGAACAAAAATCCTCCTCCCTCCCTTCTCCCTACTTTCTCCCGGACTTTGCATTACGTGTGTCTAACATCAGCTAAAGGGATTCCGTGCTTGGGTGGGCCAGGGGGCTGCTGCTCGTGGGTTCAGACAGCTTCCGATCGGCTGCCAAAGGGAGGGGGTGGGGCGCGATGCTCGCTGCACTCCCCGCCCACGCCACCAGGTGGCTGCGTCAGAGCCGAGGTTTGTGCCGAGCTCGGGGCGCCACGGACGTGCAGGCTTGGGGGACCCTCGTTCCTAACGAGCCTCCCTCGGGGCCCCTGCCCGCTGCCTCGTGTCCCCGCCGCAGAGGGCCGCCACCTGGCGGGGATGCTCAGCTGCAAGCACATCGAGACGTCGGCCGCGCTGCACCACAACACGCGGGAGCTGTTCGAGGGCGCCGTGCGCCAGATCCGCCTGCGCCGGAGCCGGGCCCGAGCGGCGGCCGCGGCCGAGGGCAACCCCGAGGGCCCCGACGGCGCCGCGCAGCTGCAGCCGCAGCCCCCACCGCCGCCCGCGCGCCGCGAGAGCCTCACCAAGAAGGCCAAGCGCTTCCTGGCCAACCTGGTGCCCCGCCACGCCAAGTTCTTCAAGCAGCGCTCCAAGTCGTGCCACGACCTCTCCGTGCTCTGAGGGAGATCCCGGCCTCGGCCATCGCCATGGTCACCTCCCCTCCCTGCGCCCCTCCCGTCGGTTTCCGTTGAGGAAACCCATCTAGGAAACCAAAAACTCCCAGGATTCCCCGGGTCTGACCGAGGCCGGAGTACCTGGAGAGGTGGGCTTGGCCCGCCGGCAGCGGGGTGGCGACTGCGGACATCTCTGTCCTGGGCGCCTGTCCCTTTAAGGGCACTTTAAAGGCGAGGACGTTGACACGTGGGTCGGGGAGGGAAGGAGAACGATTTGTTTGCAATTGTTATTCCTGTTATTATTATGATTAATATTTGGGGCCGTGCTTGACCACGTTCACCTTTAGAAGGCTTCTAGAAGCGAGGCTTGGGAATGCTCTGTTGAGACTCATTGCAGGATTTGCCGCTTTTGTCCATGGTAAGACCAAGTCTTCGAGAGATTCTTAAAGGCAAAGTCCTGAAGATCCTTGTTGAGACTTTTTAACCTTACATTTCAGCCTATCCCCCCCACCCCCACCCCCTTCAGTTGCACTTGGTCCACCTTTCCTTTAAGAGGTTCTTAAAGGCAAAGACCTGGACGTGCTATTTTGCGACTTCCTTTCAGGATTTTCTGATTTGCCTGCTGCACCTGGGCACCTACCCTTTAAGATTCTTAAAGGTAAGGACTGGCCGCATACCGGTCTGCAGGGTCCCCGTGTTTCTTAAGCCTTTGCGCCCCGGTGGCACCAGCAAGGGCGCACCGCCCCATTTGAAATAAAGAAGCGTTTTTTCTACGACACCGGATGCCCCGTGCCTATCTGGGCTTCCACGGGGCTGGCGTCGGGGTGGAGCGGTTGCTCTGGGGTCCTCATTGTCTAGCAGTTTACGTTTACAGAGTTATTCTTTTATATGGTCCGTAAGATCCCATCCTACCTTGGGTCATTGTTCCCATTTCACAGATGAGTAATCTGGAGCTCGGAAAGGTCAAGTCACTTGCTCACGTGGTAAATGCAAGAGCTGGGACAGAAACTCTCCCAGGCTTCCAGGGCTCCTTCTGCCATACCTTAACTGGTAGGAAGGGCAGTGGTGTGGGGCAGGGTCATAATGTCATAGGATTTAGAGCTTTGGAATCCCACACATGCTTTAAAAATATTAACTAATTTTATCCTCAAAACCTTGCCCTAGGCGACAAGGCTACAGCTTTACAGCTCCGGCAGGCAGAGCTTAAGTGACAGCTAATAAGCATCAGAGTCCAGATTTGAACTCTCAGGTCTTTTTGACTTATAGATGGAAAGCTTTATCCGGCAGATCATCTGAGGTCACTAAGACATAGAAAGATATAGTAACTTTTCCAAAGATGCCCAGCTAATAAATAGTGCAGCACCTAGTAAGTTTCAGTGGAAATAGTGATAGATTTGAAGGCAGAGGGCATTGGTTCAAATTCAGGGCCAGTTCCTTCCAAAGATCCTATGAACTCGGGCCTTCTGTGTTGTAGATAAGAGTGGTGGACTTGGAGTCAGTAAGACCTGAGTTTGAATCCTTCCTCAGTCATTTCCCAGGTGTGGGACCCTGGACAAGTTGGTCAACCTCACTGGTCCTCAGTTTCCTCATCTTTAAAATGAGGAGGTTGGACATGATGACCACTAAAGTCATTTCCCACTCTAAACCTGTCACTGCATCACCAATCCTTCCAGCCTGGACATAGGGTACAAAGCCAAGAATAGGTCTGGTTTTGGTCCATGCTACAGACATGTTACCCTAAAGTCAGCCTGAGCAAATTCTCAGCCACCAGGCAATTTCTAAAGATTCAGGTGACTTCCTGCCTCGACTCCAGCAGAAAAATGTTAAAAGAAAAAAAATTCGTTTAGCCTTTGGCCACTGTGTCAGTGTTCAAAGACCCTTTGTGGGCAATCTGACTCACTCTTTCAGAAAAGGCCTGAACTCAGAGATAATAGATGTTCAATATCACAACATTGGTTTAATATCAAATTCCCCAGGAATATCTCCAGTCCCCATTTCTTCTCTTCCACAGCTATGCAAAATTCTTGGAAGGGCCTCCTTTAGCATGCTCAGCCTGGCCTCTAACAGTCTATGGAGCAGGGGGTGGAGGAGTAGAATAGGGCTTGTGTGCCCCCTCTGCTGCACAGCAGCCCCATCACCTGCAGAGCAAGGGGAGCTGTCAGTGCCTGGGGACGCCCACGGCTGCTCCTGCCTCTGCCATGCACCTGAACAAAAGCAGCAGCTCCCCCTCATATTCCACCTCCACTCCCACGTGAGCCCTCCTCACACACATACACACATACCCTTAGAGCTATCTGAGCTGCTGGTTCAGCTCCCCCAGGCAGGGCCTCCACCACTCACCCTGAGACACAAGATCAACCTCCCGAGGCATGAAAGGACTAGAGCGAGATCCCAGATGTCCCTGGGAACGAGGAGGATCAAGGACAATGAAGGGACCGTGGGTGATCAGAAGAAGCAAATGTTCACCACATAAGGCTTCATTCCAGGGATTATGTGTTTAAAGGAAGCCAAGGTTGAAAGAAAGGTCTGGCAGAAATGGCCAGAGCTTAGTAATAAGGTGACAGTGGTGAGTGGTTGAGACGGGGGGGGGGGGGGGGGGGGGGGGGGGGGGGGGGG